AAGAAATAATGAGAATAATGAGACACTGAAGTGTAGCTACCTCATACCTGTGTCAAAAGAAAATATTTGTTTTAAATCACAAAACTCTGGCCATTGATCTGGAGTGAGTCTAATCAGTCAGAGAACAAGCCAGGACTGACAGAAGGCTCAACAGATCCAGCAAAAGTCACAGGCCAGTTTTAAGTAGTTGGGAGACTGCACTGACTGTATGGCATTGACATGAGATGACCCCACTGGACGCGTGCCCCTCTGCTGCTAGTCTGGTACTTGCTTCACTGCACAGCATGTTGGGTAAGTGATGGACTCATTAGAAAGAACTCTGCAGATTTACAAGGTCATATATAAAAGCTCTCACAACTGAAATGAAGACAAACACTTCGTTGAATCCAGTGACATTCCAGACCGGGTTCAAAGCTACGTGTTTTCTCTCACAGTTACTGCCATAAATGAAATAGATGAGGAAGGAGTCCCCCCTGGTGGCATACACAAACACATGGGGAACCCCTGCATCCTCCGCTATTCCTTGTTGCATTGTACTGCATGAGAGTATTTCAATACTTTAAAAAATATAGCATAACTATGCTTCTTTTTAAAAAGGGTCTGGCTGTCTAATTAGAGAAATGTAACAATAAGTCCTACTGATATCAGGGTTAACATTTCTCTTGTGACCATGACAATGAAGTCTGTAACCTTTACTATGATGTCTGGTCAAATTGTACTTAATTCAAACTAACCTGTCCTTTTCAAATCACTTCTCCAAATTCTGTTTTAGATGTATGAGTACTCTAATGATTGTATCAATGGCATTCACAGAACTGACCTTCTGTGGAACTCAATGGCCAAAGCCCTAAACTAGAACACTGTAGGTGTGCTTTTCTGCTTTCAGTTCAGTATGAAGGGCACTGGAAAGGAAGGATGTGTATATTTCTACATTTATTTTTTACTAGGTAATCTTCCTTTAATATTTTTCATTTATACTCATAACTACATTTCAAGTCTCACATCCATTTAACAGAAAATAAAATAAATCCAAATATGGAGAATTTAGGAATTTTCATTTTGGCTACATCTGAGATGCTGAGAGTAAAATTTAACTCCAAACCTCCTAGCTGATTTGTGTTTAAAACCTTAATGTTATAAATGTAATGTAACAAAATGTGTGAGACTTTTAGTGTTTTAGTACTTTTAGTTTTTAGTACTTTTATCTTCTTTCTCAATACACCCAAACAAGTGCCAAGATCTCTTTAAAATAATAACTGCATTTAGATTGTTGGCTGCAGATGAGTGCAATGACCAGATGAGCACTTATAAGTCACTGAAATCTCCCTCAGGAAAAATTAACAATATACTTTAGCATAATATCCCATCACAAGAAAAAAAATAAAACAGAGAACAGCAACAACAGAACCCAGACCAACAGTATTCCAGGGCAGCAGAGGAAAGCACTCTGTTCCAAAGTGTTTGTCAGACAGAATGAAATACTATGGAATCGTGGCATATTATGGAAGTGGGGTCATGACCAGGGATGCTAGACAGAGCTGGAGAATTCAGATCCTCTATACACAGCTGATAGAGTGCTGAGAGTGCCAAGGAAGATGGATCCCAGAGCAGTGCACCACTGGTGACTTTGTGCCATTTGAGACGAGAGCAAGAGCGAAAGAATAACAGTGGAAATAAAGAAGTGATGTGTATGTATGGGAACTGCTGAGTCACAGCCTGAACCTCTGATTGATCACCTGAGGCGAGCCATGAGTCAGCCAGAGGAGCACAGGTGAAGGCAATTCAGCTGTGCTCCTAGACCTATTTAAGAGCTGGCTACCAGAAGGGAAGGATCTCTTCTGGAGATCACCTCTCTTGGTGTTTTGTGGTGAGCCAAGCTGAAGGGTAAGCTCTTCCACTGATTCTCTTTTTGTTATCATTGTCTACTTTGCCTAACTCTCTTGATTATATTGTGATTATAACATCTTGATATCTATTGACTATACAATTATATTGTGATTATAATATCTTGATATCTATTGATTATACATGTGTGTTATCCAAATGTATTTTCTTTAATGCTATATTTACTTTGGCTTAATGATGTGATTTGCATATATCACATTAAGCCATCAGAGGCTGTTAAAAGTGAAGTAAATGCAGACTAGGCCTCCTGTGGAAATAATTGTGTTGCAAATAATTGTTACCAGTTATTACCAACTGTTACCAGTAAGCTTCAAGTTAATTCATTCCAAGCCAAGTAGGATCAAAGCTTACAGTTATACCCTAGAGTATACATTGAATCATCAAACTTTGCAGGAAGAAGAGAAAGCAGAGGATGAAGGGGAAAGAAAGAGCTGTGCCCTACCTGAAGCTGAACAGTCAGAAAGCATACCAAGCAACACTGCCTACCAGGGTAGTCAAAAAATTAAGAGAGCTGGACAAGTTTTCTGTTTGCTCTTATTCTTTGTTCTTCCCTGCTTTAAATAGCTGCTCATTTGAGCTTATTCTGGCCTGTATAGCTGTGCTATAATCTTATTACAGTGGATCCAACTCTCAGCCAGCTCACTTGTCCCATTTCTCAGGGGGGCTGCAGCAGGCTACATGGTACATAGGGTCACGAGGACATTGATGTTATGACCACAGAACTCCACAGCAACCAAATTACAGTAGTTTAACAAGTTTCCACCTATGAAGTTATGCTGAACAGCTGGAATAATTCATGTGCTCTAACTTTTCATAGTACAATTCCATTAAATTTCCATTACCTTAATTAGACTCTCACAGTACAGTTGAAAATACTCAGCACTTCCTCATCTTTGCCAATGAAATGACTATGGTGTGTAATAAAGTATGCTCCAGTGAAACTAGCTAATTTTAGGAAGTGTACTTAGGAGTGTGAAGCAACTCAGAGCTTTAAAGATTTCTCTTTGAAATCAAAAGGGGATCATTTTCTGATCAGAATATTTTACATATGCAAGAAAAGACTGAGGGTTGTGGGATCAGTTAATTTAAAAAATAACATTAAGGAATGACAAGCATTGTACTCCGTAATTCAGACCAGATAGGTACTGATTAATAACATGGGTAAATAATATTGCAGACAAAGCCATAGACTTTGAGGGAAAAAAGGAAAGGAACACTGGCAAGAGATTTCTACATTGCCAGAGACTGAAAAGAAGAATCTGCCTGTATCCTGTTTTCCCATGAAAATGGCAGTCATCCACAACCTTCTGCGGAAATTCTTAAGGTCAGAAGGGGATAGGAGGGAAGCATCTAGGAAGGAGATTTGAGTCATTTCATATGTTCCTGTTCTTCACACCGCATTGAGAAAAATCAGTACTACAGTCAGATGCGAGACCCAGCTGCTTATAACAAGAAATGGGTTGGCACTGAAGGGCTGCAGGAGCTCACAACTCCTACAGAAGGTATAGCCTTGCAAATAAGACAGCTTGTAGATAACATCTTTCAGAAGACTGAGCTTCTATATCTGTATTTCCTTCAGAATATCTACTCACATGTATGTACACATTCAAGTCTTATAATTTTTTTCCATGATGCAGGCAAGTCTGAACTGAAAAAAAAAAAAAAAAAAAAAAACTGCCAGGAATGAAAACATTGGATTGTAGGAAACCCTCTGCAATTATACATACTTTTCACCAAAGGTGAAAAAACTGAAGAAAAATCAACAAGAAAATGGTAGTTCACAAAATTAAGGAACAGTGAATAAATTTAATAAATGAACAGGGAAGGATGTGGAGCTGATACAAAAATATATATACCATAGCATTAAGTCAGTTCTCCAACAGAATGTGTTAGTAGCAGAAGGGGCTGTTTTGCTTTATGCACACTTTCTAGCTTAGAAGGACATCAATCATTTCATACTTTCTGACTCGAAAATGCACTCACTACACTATGGAATGCATCTGAACTTCAGTATCTGGAGAACTGGGTTGTGTGGTATGATAAAAGGATGCGTTCTGCAAGTGGGGTGTAATGACACAGTAAACTATCTGTATTGAGTCAGACCATTCTGGATGCAAAGTAAAACAGAAATGCATACAGAAGTCTTTTTGTATTTTTTTAATGTATAATATAAATATAAAAATAACTTTAACCTAAAGAATAAAATATCATTGCTTGAGTACTAAGTTCTGATCTCAACAAGTTCCAAAGATCTAAACCAGACACCAGTGTTCAAAAGAAACCAGATCTGAGAATCCTGGAATTACAAACAAGGACAGTCAAGTCCTAACAGTAATTGGGTCAAAAGCATTCTTATTTGGTGGCCATAACAATGTCTATGAAGATACACAGCTTCTTTCCTGAATTGAGAGTTTGCCAGTTTAGGAGAAAATAAATTGTTGACTCAGTGGAAGATTGTACATCTCTAGTAAATTTGATCTTCCCCAGCGCTGGAAAGCAAAAACTGTTTTCACATTTTAATAAGATTGCACTTCTGTATTAAAGTACTGTTCAAATAAAGTAAAGTGATTACCATGATTTTCAAGGTACATGTTGGAAATATGAAATGCTTTTCTGAGATCACATCATGGCCACAATTATCAGCCTACTTCTGGCAAAAACCTGTTTTGTTTTTTTTTGTTGTTGTCATTTTGTTTTTTAATTATCCATGTATCAGAAAACCATTACTAACTTACCTTGTGTTTCACAGTCAGGAGATAAATTTTAAGTACCAGGGACAATTTTTCCTTGTCTGTTTTCTTTGGGTTTTGTTTTGAGAAACATAACCACTTGGATGAAAATCTCTTATTATTGCTGCTTAAATTCTTATCCAGCAAAATTCCAAATTTCAACAGTAAAAATTCTTTGCATTCAGAAGAAAAGGTTGAAGATTTCTGAAGAAGCACATAAACAAAAGTTGGGGCCTTTCTTTTATTGACTCTTCCAAACTACTTCCTGTTCTCTCTCTATGAATAGAATTTTGATGTCTCAAATAGACATTCAACGATGAAGTTAACTTTACGCACGAGCACAAAAGAGAATTAACACATCTGACATGAAAACAATGGACAAATGTTTAATTTGGTGTAAAACATGACTTCAACAAGTACCATAACCATGTGATTAGAGTTGCTTACTACTGGCCTCCTGCCTTCAGTATAATGCATTAAACATACAAAAATATCACTGTTTACTTACCCAGTGATACTGGCTTAGCAGAGATAGATCAGGCTGTTCAACATAAAGCTGCTAATATAAAGAATCAAAATGATTTCTGCACCTATTCTTTTTAATTCAGTAATTTTTTAAGCCTTAAAATATTCAGACCCTTCATTACTTGTATGCAAGTATCTGTCAGTTTATGTGACAAACTTCTGCTTGGTTTAAAAGCAATTAAATGCAATTTCCACATATTCAGAGTGCAGAACTAATTCAAACAGCCTACTCATGATATGATCTTATACTCAATACTCGAACTAAATGTGACTTTCTTTGCAGAGTTAAAAATCAAGAGGTGTATTTTTTAAAGGCGCAAGCTCTAAACAGTACTCTGTAAGAGATTCCCTTTTGTTTCCCTGGCTTTCATAAATACCAAAAGAATCCATTTAAACCACTAGATGCTGGTATTTTAAATTGGTACAAATATTTGTCTTAGCAAGATTTTCACAGCACAGATCTTCCTTCTTTTCAGTCTCTGGGAAAAGAGCTGCTTGGGAGTGTGACTCTATCTCAGAAAACCATTGAAGTAGCTGTGAATACTTAGAGACTGCTGCAACCCAGCCATCCTTTCCATCTTTTCCAGAAACCCACAGACCTCTAAAAGAAGGCTACAAGAGGTGTCAGCTGTAATATCTGCCCCTGTCTTTTGAAGTGAAGGCCAACCCTACTCTCATGGGATGAAGAGTAGTATCCATTAAAAACAGCCCGACCTTTCTGTGTTAAGCACAGTTTCTCTCTAATCTTAAGAACTTAATGTGCTTGACAGGTAATGAACATTCCAGATCTTTTTTTTTATATGAAAAGTTCCTTTTAAAGCAGAGACGGTGAGTTTGCAGCACAGTCCATGCATGGTTCTCCTGGTTAGTTAAAAATAAAAAAAAAAAAAAAAAAAAAGCACAAGAAAAACAGAAGTATTTTAGTGTATTTTGTGTTGTTAACTCTAACGAAGCCCTACAAATTATTTATAGGTTAAAAAAAAAATTCAGTACATTCCAAAATTTGAGATATTCTACTGTTACCTGATACTTCTGAAACCGTAATATAGTTTAACATTCTTCCACATTTATAGCACTGCACAATGAACAGCAAGTGACATTCCTTATCTCCACATTATTTACTTTCACCACCTTTCTCTTCTTCCTCAAAATCAAAACAAAAGGCTTTGTCATAGCCCATGAGACGGTTATAATCCTGAGGATCTGGGAAAAGCGTTGGATTAACAAGCATTGATTTAGTTTTAGCATAAAATGTTGTAAACATCTTGGTGATGTCTGGAATCTTTACATCTTTCTGATGGAAGACAGTTGCTTTTTCTGCCAAGATTGCATTGTACGTAATAGCTGTGTATGTGTCCATTTCCTCTTTATAGTAGAGTCGAATTACATAGCCCTTTGTAAGGATATGCAAAGTAACTGGAGTAACAAATGTAAAAAATCCTATCAATCCATAAAATGCAGCTTGTAGAAGCAAGCTTTCAAATCCAATACCAGTTTTCAGCACGAGGTAGGGCGTCATGAACAGGTTAAATATGCTGGTGGAGTAGGAGAAAAATCTCACACCTATATAGAACAAAACAAAAAACCAAGATTAATACCTGTAAGTGAAATTGTCTCTGTAATTACCTATGTACCTTGTGCTATAAATTTTTGTCATTACTTCAACACCTAAAATTACTGAAAAGCCTTTTTTAAAACACTCTCCAATAAAATAAGCCATTAACAAGCACCAGGAGGTCCAATCCTCTCTTCCTGCCACTCTCAAGGTTTGTTTTGTACTGGTTTTATACTTTATACTGTTTTATACTTTGTTTTATATATATATGCTGGGTTTAATCAAAGCTAGTAGCTCGTTTTATTTCTATGATGAACTCTGCTATCATGCAATTATGCAGATATATGTATTTTTCACTTCACAGACAGGAATAACAATTAAAGATATGGCTGGGCACTTCTCTCTTCATCAACAACCACATTAGACGTTCAGTGTGCATTAAAGAAACAAGTTTGCTTGGTCCCCCACTGTGTTTAATTTGAAAAATGTAGGTTATTGTACATTCACAAGCATTCTGCAGCCATCTTTGCACACAGCTTGAAAATCAGCAGCTGCTGCTATCAATCACCCACCATCCTTGAGACACAATGAGAACCAGCAGTCTAAAGATGCTGTGAAAACTGAATGTATCAGGGCATACTTCCCCCTTCAATTCAAAAATGTCCATCAGAAAACATCAGTGAACTACTTTTTGCTAAGCAAAAACATTAACTGGTCAAAGAGAGATTAACCAAAGTCTCATCACAGACAGCACTTCTGTCATTTTAGTGACATTCAAAAGCATATAGAATGCAAATATTAGTTATAGTTGGTCAATGTCGGATAATCACTCAAAAGGCTGCAAGAGAAACAGAAGCAGGCTGAGGGATTACAGTTGCACTGTATTTTCAGAACTCCCTGCAGACCTAAAATTAACTGAAACAGAAATGCTGTTGATGTTAATCATTATACACCACAAAAGTATAAAACCAAGCATCACAGCAAGATATATTTCATGTTCTGTACAGAGATTTGGGGTTTTAGGACAGTTGGAAAGAACATTTGCTTTCTTAATGTTGCATTTAAATACTTTAAATATTAAGGAAAAAAAATCAATAAAGATCCTTTCAAGTTACACACCTAACACTGCTTTTGCTAAGTTTCCTTTATAAACCAATCTTCCATGTTCTGGGTGGTCAGAAGGAGCAGATGTGCTGAGGCTGCGAACTGCTACCCCTTGAAAAGATACAACCTGAAAGATGAAAGCAAAATCAGTATCAGCACTTCAGAGAATCGTAGAATAGAATAATTAAGGCTGGAAAAGACCTCTAAGATCACCTAGTCCAACCACCAACCCACCCTTCAACCATACCCACTAACCATGTCCCTCCGTGCCACATCTAAGCATTTCTTGAACATCTCCAAGGAGTGATTTCACCACCTCCCTGAGCAGCTTATTCCAATATCTCACCACTCTTTTTGAGAAGCTTTTCCTAATATCCAGACTGAATCTCCTTTGGAACAACTTGAGGCCACTGCATCCACAGAAGATTCTCTGTGTCCTGAACCTATTCCCAGCAACCTGAAGTAGCCATTAAGATTGGGTTATCTGCTACAGGATCATTTAGACTGGAAAAGTCCTCTAAAGGTCATCAAGCCTAATTGTTAACCTCACACTACTATTAAAGCACCACATCTACTCCTTAAACAGCTCCAGGGACAGTGACTGCTTCCCTACGCAGCCCGTTCCAATGCTTCACAACCCCTTCCGTGAAGAGTTCTTTCCCAGTGTCCAACCCAAGCCTCCCTGCACAACTGGATTATGCCGGCTATGTAATTTCCAATATGGGCTAGGATGCTGCTGGTTCTTCTTAGCCACCTGTGCACACTGCTGGCACAGTACAGCCCAGCTCACTGTATGACACACTGCGCTATAACCTGTAACCCTTTCTGCACACAGCTTTGCAAGGAGGCAGTCACGACCTTTACCTCTTAGAACCCCAGTCAAAGACCACCATCCCGCAGCAAACCTCGTGCCCAGCGAAGCTGAGAAACCAAATACGCCTACCCAGCCTCTCTCCGTTACGTTCGTACTTCTCGCAAAGCAAAGCGCAGCCAACCCAAACCCCTTCCCCTCCCAGCGCACCTCGGGAAGCGCCCCGCAGCTGCTCTGCAGCCGCTGTCTCCCCGCGGGCAGAGGCTGGGGGAATCCCAGACGGCGACTGGCAAGCGGAAGCCCACGGTGAGCCGCGCCCCGCAGCCAAACGGGGCCGGGCCGGGAGACGGCGGCACGCCAGCAGCCGGCGGCGCGGAACAGCATAGCAGCCACGGTCCGTCCCGCAGCACCCGGCAGCGAGACGTGTGGGGGAACGGAACGGAAACGGCGCGGTCCACCAGCGCAGCCTCCGCCGCCGCCGCGCAGTCCCGACCTTTGGTTCCGCCGCAATTAGCCCCCCCCCCGCTCTCACCCAGCGGTGTGGCGGAGCCCAGGGCTGCCTCTGCGGTTATATCATGGGAATGTCCGGGCACCTGCGGGCTGAGGTGCCGGGAATGGCAAAACAGCGTAAAACAGGCTGAAAGCGCTGTGCTACGCCGGAACCGTTCACCGTAAAATGGCCGGGCTGTGCTTTACGGGGCTCCGCTCTGACCTAACGGACTGGCCATGTTTTGAGGCCGAGAAGCAGATAAACGTGGCGGCACTGCCACGGCCGAGCGGCCGGAGTACTCCCGGCGGCTTCGTGGCTGACGGCCGTTCTTCGGCCCGTGAGTGCCAGGGCGGCCTTACCGGCAGCTATCGGGCATGCTCAAGCGTCAGCCGTTCCAGCCGGCCGCGCGGCAAACCTTGCCCTCACACGTCACCCGCCTTAGGGACAACATGGCGGACAACACCTCCTCCTACATAAACTACAGCTCCCGGCATGCCCCGCTTCCGCCGCGCAGCACGCCGGGAGCTGAGCGCTCGCACGCCTTCCAAGGGCAGTGTGCGGGGGGCCGGAAGTGCGCCGTGACCCAACGGAAGCGCTTGGAAGGCAGCTGGCCCGATACGGCGGGGGCCCTGCGAGCGGGGCGGAGGAGCGGCACCGACGGGTGAGTGGCTGGAGGGGCCTCGCCACGGCCGCCTGGGAGGTGTCCACGGGATCTGCCGCTGGGAGAGCGACGAGCCTCGCTGCCGGGGGCGGGAGGCCCGGAGCGCCGAGCGGAGAGGCCTGGAAGAGCCGGGGGCGTGTGGGGAGGAGGCGGGGGTGCGTGCGTGCATAGTGCGGGAAGCTCGCTGCTAGGGGTTCACTGCTAGGCTGGGGTTCCCCTGCCGGGTGTGAGCTGGTAGCGTTTCTCCTCTCTATAAAAGTCTCCCTGGATTCCACACGCCGCCGGGAAAGGTGCTTTCCAGAACGCTGCTGTAATTAAATATCGCTCTTAAACTTTTTCCGCTACGAATTATGTCCACCCTCTTCCCACGCCATGTCTTAAAGAAAGGGCAGTAACTAAGGCCGAAAGAATTTAGGATGTGTCCTCTGGCGTTGTTGTGCTAAGGTGCGAAGTGCTGGTTGAAGTGCTTTGGCTGTAATGGTCAGTGAATGTAAGCAAAACAAGGCTGATGAGGAAGAGCGATTGACTGACGGTGTAGTAAAGGAAACGTGCTTCTGAACAGCCCGTGCTACTTAAAGGCAGGCTTTGTTTTTCTGTAGGTGACCACGAGCTTTGATAAGGTAATGATGGCTTTAGGTACATATGTGAAAAGTGTGACATTAGCAGGTAGCTCTGAGGGCCAGTGTTACCTATAAAGTGTGGTACAGTTTGAAGGAGCCTTAAAGATTAATATTGTAGATCGCAATGCGAGCATTGCACTACAGGGAGATGTAGTTGTCGGTTTGCTTTTTACTTGGGTTTGCTCTGGTTTTGCTGTTTCAGAGCTTCAGTTTGAAATGTAGATATAAGCATCTCGGAGACCTTCAGGATAAAAAGAGCTTTGTACCTGTATTTATTCCCTTCTGTACTCAAGTTTCCTCTTTTTGCTATGCTAAGAACAAAAATATAATTGGGAGTGAAATACAATTTATTAATTGAAAGGGTCCTTACAAAGATATGTGTTTTTCTGTAATACATCTTGAGATCAGCTATCTAGTGTGTAAATACTTTTTTTTTTTTCCATTAAGATTTACCTTCAGCACTGAGAAATTTAAGATATGTGATCTTAACATGCTTTCATCACTTCTGGCATTTCTTTGTAATAGGGAAAAGTCATGTGAAATTTTTTTGTCTTTTTAGTACTGAAACGGTGATGAAATAATGTACAAAATTTCTTATATTCTTAATGTGAGGAGTTTATACTGGTTCACTGAAGAGATCCAGTTTTGTAAGGTACTGTCTTCTGTCTCTCACTTTTGTACATTTTTCCTGATCCATTTGCCCCTTATGCTTTCTATATGGGAATAAATTAATATCTTTTGAAAGCTTGCTTAACTTCACCTGTTTTTGAGTTTTTTGTTTGTTTGTTTGTTTGTTTTTGTTGTTGTTGTTTTCTTGGAATTCTCAGTGTATGCCCTACATTTTGTCCTAGAAATATTTTTTGAATCAGAGTAAAAATTTTTTTATAGGATTTTTACAAGTTTTCTTGCATCTGAAAAGGCTCAGAATGTAGTTACCATTGTTGCGGGGTAGTTTGCATAATTGTGGTTTTTGATGAATGCTTTAATGAGAGAGCAGAAATTGATACTGTATTAAAAATTTGGAATGTGCAAGCAGCTTTATTTCCTCTAACAGCTGGAGATATAAAGTAACCAGGGCTTTCCTTCTATATTAGGGAGAAAACTCTAACGCTTGCTTTTTTTTTTTTTCTCTTGGGAATTATTGGAAAATAAAGTTCCCTAAGAAAAAAGAGTACCTTAAATAAAGTGAGGCCTTTGATACTCCATGCGTGGCATCCTAACTCACCTGTTTGTCTGAACTAGCATTCACCTTTAGTGTACCTTCCTAGTAAACTTGCTGATCTGGCAATCTTGCTGTACCAGTTTTCCCTCATGATTTTTCTAAATATGTTTCAATCCATATTTACATTATTCTTTTGTGTGCCCTAAACAGTGAATACTGAACTGAAGAGTGGTATTTTTAAACAAGCTTCTCTTTAGGATCTAGAGTAGGACTATAGTTTAGGATTAAACAGTAAGACACTGTTGATTTTGCATACAGTGGCCTTTCTTTGCTGAAGAACTCTTCCTGATTTACAAATGACACTCAGAAAATTCCACATTTGACTTCTCAACAAACCCAGGAATTGTGAAGGCATTTTTGTTATTTGCCCCACATTTTCCAAAAAGTTGATCTCACAGAATACAAAAATGTCACCAACTGAAGCGTACAAAAGACGTGTGTGTGCTTGTATTGCACAGCTAATGATTTGGAAGCCTTTTGAGTTACCCTGCACCAGAATCTGAGTTTCAGATATTTTTCTGTGGGAACAAAGAATCTGAATGCTTGCAAATGTTTGCATAGATTTAAGTTTCTTGTGCTAACTGGACTAGAAGGATGACGTTCCTGCTGTGTACAGCAGTTGTGTGTGTTCAGTTAAATTAACATATACCCATCAATTACATTTTAGTCTCCCAGGCTTAGAAGGTGTAGAAGGAAGTGATGTTCTGAAAATTCTGGGTGTGTTGGTTGACAAGCATGCAGTTTTGGGCGTAAGTTAGGAAAGAGGTCATGTGTTTTTTTTGTTGTTTTTCTTTTTTCATTACATTTAATGTTCAAGAGAAACAAAAAGAAAAAACTAAACTCACTATACCGTATCTTTTCTTCTTGGGGTTGTGAGGAGATAAATGTATTCCAGCATGGAAACAGGAACGCTTGATTTGTGTTGACAATTATGGTGGTTTATGATTCTTAGTTATATTCTATCTCAACATGTAAATCTGTTACTGCTTCCACTAACTCTTGTGTAAGCTCATGAACCAGGAAGGGAGTTGACTGAAGAAAACAGGCTGTGGCTCATGCAGGATCATGTTAATAACATCTCAGATAACTTGGGTGTAGTTGTTGGAAAGAAGATGCTTTTCACAAAACAATCACGTAGAACTGAAATATGTTCAGATCTTCATAATGTATCATGACACACGGGCACTTCTTGAAGAGGAACCAGTACTTGCAGTTTCTTAGTTTTGTTATAGCTTTTCCAAGTTTCCTATTTTCCTTTGCTTATTGCTTCTATTGTTGCATTGACCCTGTGATCCTTTTTTGCTCTTCACTGTCTGTATTTTGTCAGAAGAAAATCTATACTACCACTCTTAGTCATAATTATCACTTTTCATATTTTTTTGAAATTATACATTGTTATGTCAGAACAAATGAAGTGAAACCACGTTCTGTCCCATGCTTCCAAGGCGAATACAGTGGGATGTATGATGTTGCTTAAAAGTAGGTAGGTTTCCTGAGCCTTCTGCTTTTAGCAGTGGTATGTTGCTTTTGTTCTGTAGAATCATAGAATCACAAGGTTGGAAAGGACCTGCAAGATCATGTATCCAACCATCCTCCCATTACCATTGCTACACAAGCACTAAACCACATCTTGCAGCTCCTCATCCAGACACCTCTTGAACACTGCCAGGGACGGTGACTCCACCACCTCCCTGGGCAGCCATTCCAGTGTCTGACCACTCTCTGAGAGAAAAAGCTATTCTATAATTTCTATGTTATTCTTTTTTTTTATTAGAAGTACAAATTTTATTATTGTTAATCCTATTATGTTGTTTAGTTGGACTTACAATAAGGCATGATCTTGGTATGCTTTATCTTCTTTGCTTATCCATTTGATGAATTGTATTTGTCTTCATTTTGCTAAGCCAAACAAGCAAGTCTTTCTAATTTTTTCATTACATTGCAGGCTTTTTGGTCATGTTGGTAACTCCTTTCTGTAGTGTTTCCAATTTGAACTACTTCTGCCCAGGGAGCCAAGAAGATCAATGGCATCCTGGCTTGTATAGGAAAGTGTATAGCCAGCAGGACCAGGGAGGTGATCATCCCGCTGTACTCAGCTCTGGTGAGGCCACACTTCAACTGCCATGTTGAGATTTGGTCCCCTCACTACAAGAAAGACATTGAGGCCCTGGAGAGTGCCCAGAGAAGGGCAACAAAGCTGTGAGGGATCTGGAGCCCCATCCAGCCTGGCCTTGAATGCTTCTATGGAGGGGGTAACCACAACCTCACTGGGCAACCTGTTCCAGTGTCTCACCCCTCTCACAGTAAAGAATTTCTTCCTAGTCTAAATCTACCCTCTTCGAATTTTAAACCATTTCTCCTTGTCCTGTCGCTACATGTCCTTATAAAAAA